GTACGGTCATTAGGTAAAAAAAGGAAGATGAAAACAGAATGGCGGAGCAAGAGAAACCGTTTCAAACGGCTTCAGCTTTTTAAAATAATAATAATAATAATAATAATAAAATTAATTAAATAAAATTCCTTGTTTGAACCTAAAGGCATGATCGAGTTGCAATTTCTTCTAGAATTGCAATTCTTTGAATGGGTGCGAAAGGCACCAGTTTGCGACTTGGCGTCTCCTGTGCTGGGTGCAAAAGGCACCAGTGGGCTATATAAATGCATAATACAGCCCACACCGTTATGGGTGATTTTTGAAGCTTCTGTTTCTTCATTCTTTCCTCTGCCTTTAATTTGTTGCTTTCTTGAGTGTACTGGCTTTGGGCATCAAGGTTTAATACAGTAAGCATTGTTTTTTGGGAATAACGCATTCTGTTTTTTTATTCATATTTTCCTTTGTGAAAATTATTACCATTAACATAAGATCCTGAAACTACTTGACACCCAAAAAATGACTATTATACAACAATAATACACTAATTTCTCTACATTTAAACTCGATGCGTACATCTATATACAACAAAGAGACTTATTTTAAAACTAAACTGGCAACCGGCTCTGACAAATCTACTATAGAAATTTTTTTCTATTTTTAATATTTTATCAAGAACTCCTAAATCAAATAATTAAGAACAAGAAGTTAAGAAAAATTTTGTACTGACTCGGCCATTCGGCCATTGTAGAAACCCTCTGAGCGTCCCCTAAGCCAAACCCCATCAAGCATGTGCCTTGAACAAACCTGCCGCTGTTGAGGCGATTTGCACTTCCCCGCCATTATGTATCCCTTCATGAGGAAGCCCTGCCGGGAATTGAACCATTGTCATCAGCCAGTTATATCTTGCTGCAAATTAAAGAAATTGAAGTAATTTAAATCGAAAAAAGAGAGAAGAAACTGAAGCAAAGTTGTCAAAGCCCAAAAACTATTTTATGGGTTTGTTCTAGGGTTTAAATCCTTGAACCAATACTGTCCAGTTTTCCTCGTATTGATATAAGAGTAATCTTACGATTAGGCCCATTAATATTTTCATCTTTGTAAGTTTCTGACAAAAGTATTAATCAAACCATTAAGCAGTACTCAATCGCCTTTGAAATTAGCACCTGCCTTCGAAACCGTCCAAACATGTCCAGCTGCTCGTCCCAACAATTGACACTTCTTAATTTCCTTTTTTTTTTTTTTTTTTTT